AAGGAGCCAAACACCCTCACTGGAGGAAAGATAGCCTCTTTAATAAATGGTGCCGGAAAAATTTGGTTTCAACTTGCCAAAGATTAAAACTAGACCTATATGTCTCACAATGCACTAAACTGAAATTGAAATTGATTAAAGATCTAAGTATTAAAACAGAAACACTAAACCAGCTGGAACAGAGGTTAGGTAGAACTCTTGAAGACATTGGCCTATGAAAAGATTTCATGAGCAAAACCTGTTTCCCATGAACTAGCACAAAGAATCAACAAGTGGGATCTCATCTTATTAAAAAGCTTCTGCACACACATCAAGAGGAACCACCAACAGTGTGAAGAGACAACCCACAATTTGGGAAAAACTTTTCATCAGCTGTCCTTCAGACAAAAGTCTACTATCTAGAATCTATAAGGAACTTACAAAAATCATCAGACCTCCCAAATGTAAAGACCCAATCCAAAAATGGGCATCTTAAATGAACAGACATTACTCACACAAAGAAGTAGAAATAGCAAATAAACATACGAAAAAATGTTCAACATCACTGGTCATTCGAGAGATGCAAATGAAAACAATGCTGAGATTCTACCTCACCCTGGCAAGAATGGCTGCTATCATAAAATCAACCAATAACAAATGCTGGCGGGGCTGTGGGGAAAGAGGAACCCTGCTCCACTGCTGGTGGGAGTGTAGACTGCTGCAACCACTGTGGAAATCAGTATGGAGATACCTCAAAGAACTAGGACTGGAAGTCCCATTTGACCCAACTATTCCCCTGGTGGGTATCTTCCCCAAAGAATTAAAAGAATCATGCCACAGCGATATATGTGCACCCATGTTCATAGCAGCACAATTTGTAATAGCTAAAACTTGGAAGCAGCCCAATTGCCCATCAAGTGGAGAATGGATAAAGAAAATGTGGGGGTTTTTTAAATAAAATGGAGTACTACTCAGCCATAAAGAATGAGAAAGTAGAGACATTTATAGCTAAATGGATGCACATTGAGGCCATACTCTTTAAGTGAAATAAATAGGACACACATGTATAAATACTGAATAGTTTCTCTAGTGTGAGGAACTGAAAGTGCAAATAAGGACTGAAAAGTATACTAGATAGTGTGAAATAGGAAGAAAAGGTGCAAGGGGAAGGGGAAGTGGGGAGAAAATAAGAACCAAGATGGATTATGTAAAGGTGCAAATTTGCAATGATGAATGTCATTATACTCTATACTTTAAATGTACCAATAAAATAATAGAAAAGAAAGAAAGAAAGAGAGAGAAAGAGAAGAAAGAAAGAAAGAAAGAAAGAAAGAAAGAAAGAAAGAAAGAAAGAAAGAAAGAAAGGAAGAAGAAAGAAAACGAAATCACTGCAAAGCTCATTCATTAGAATTGCCTCGAGGATATTGAGTTCCTTCAATTCTTTCAAAATAAATACATCTCAGGACTTCCTTATCCAGTTCCAACTTGTTTAGCTGCTAGGTATGGGAGCAAAAGTTGCCAGGTGAAACAAGCATGTGGTTCCTTTTAAAAGGTTTTGTGTGGTTTAGCTACACTTCTTACTTTAAGAGAGGGAAACATAAGGCAAGAAGACAAAGAAGAGTTGCAGAACAGTGCCAAGCTGCCTTTATATGGGAATTAAGTTAGATTTCTCACTGAAGTCCAAATACAATGAAACAATAATAAAATGTGGGCAACATGTTGAAATGAAACAACAGAAGGGAAGGATTTCATTAAATTCAGATTATGGAAAGCTTTCAAGAGTGATGCCAAATCTAAAAGCCAGACAGCAAAAGCTAGTACACTGAAAGGGCACAGGGCCTATTTATGGTAGAATGAGAAATGGCAGTAATTGGCTAAACCCTAGGCTTTGAGCATCCATTTTGTGGCCAGAGAGTGTTGGAGTTATAAGGAAAGGCAGAAATGGAAGACAAGACGAGATCTTTCCTTTGCGTCACAAACATAGTAGGAGAGGAAAATAAGAGTGTAATAACATTTTCAACTGAGAAACAACTAGACTGGAGACATGGCCAGTAGCCAGAAAGAGGAGAAGTAACAATGGCTGGATGTTCCCTGGAGACTTAAAGGAGCTAAAATGACCAGACCAAGGCTGCACCTTGTAAAAGAATCCTCACAAGTCCAGAGATTTAGCTCAGTGGTTCTACTGCCTGCCTCGCAGTTCAATCCCTCATACCAAAAAAAGAATCCTCACAAGGAACTACAATGGCTGAGAAAAGGAGGAAGGGAACCAGGGACTGGGACTGGCTTATCTCAAGGGTGTTCAGAGAGGTACAGGGCCAGCACCAAACCACAACCCAGTCCTAAATTCTTTCTAATATTTGTTATCACATGACACATGATTAAAATAAAGATTAAGGCACCCAAAAAAGTTAGTAAAAAAATGAAGTGTCATAAAGTAACCACATTCCCCCCAAGAGGTATGGAAGAGCTAAAGAAGCCTTTCTAGGCCCAGCAGCCTGGAAGGCTGGAGGGTGGCTTCAAATGGCCAGAGGCCAGCCCTAGCATGACAATGTTGTCAAGGCATAATGTGTTGCCATTTCTACCCCTCCACTCTCACTGGAAACTATTTTAAAAGCCAGGAAACTGAAGCTCAGACAGGTTAAGTAGTCTGTGCAGTATTTTAATCCCCATCTCTCCAACTCTGCAGAGTTCAAAAGCTCTGGTCCTGGGATTGGTCTATATTCTTAAAAATTATCAAGTCATTTATGTGGGGATTCAAACATAAAAAAATATATTATATAGAATAATATACATATATATGTATATATTCGTCACATTACAAATTTAAACTGAACAATTGTTAAAACATGAGGATACAAGAGAACACATTCCCTCAGCCATCAGAACAGTGAAACCATCACACATTACGTAGTTTCGAGAATTTCTATTGCACACTTGAGAGAAAATAAAAGCATTATTACAGTCATGAAAATGGTTTGATCTCTCAGACTCCTCTGGTGGAGCTAAAGCATCTAGTGCCCAAGACCACACTGAGAATGGTTTTATCCTCCAACCTGTGCTTCATTTTCTACAATCAGACTGTGGCATGTTCTGTGAACACTCTTCACATTCTGCCTCAGCTCCCTTTCCTGCCTCATTTCCTGCAACCTTTGTGCTATGAGTTTCCAAACTAAGCCTGGTCTCCCTACAAGCACTGTGAGTGCCCAAGCTTCTCTGCCAAGATGCCCATGTTATATCTTCTGTCTGGTGCTACCGGTTTCTCTTTGAGATTCCCACTCTAGTTTTCCAGGCTCAGCTGAAACACCTCCCATCCCAATCCGAAACCAACTGGATCATTTTCCTTGAAGAGTTCTTTTATCTCTACTTTATTTTACCATACTCCATTATTTCTTTGTGTTAGTAATGTGTCTGCCTTCCCTTCTTTTGTTGATATTTGTCAAAACTGTTTTATTTGCTTTGTCTAACTACTCTAAAGTGAGTTATCAATGGCTGATAGGAGTGCAAGTGATACTCTTCTCTGAACTTCTCTGCAATAAAATCTTGAAACCTGAAAGCATTTCTCTATATATTATCAGCTAATACAGAACATTGCTGTATGTAATACACAGCTCTATGTGCTTTATATGTAAGTCGATGCTTTTAAGTGAATATGCAACTAAGAGCAAGAAGTAGAACTGGATTGGACAATACTTCCTACTTCATCTCCTATAGGTACATATTCTTTTCTGGTTTATACCTTTTGCTACATATTTACCTTGGTTTTTTCTTTATGTCCAAGTGGCAGATTCCAGAACTTCTTTGTGTCCCATTTCCTGAATTCCTCAGGGGATATTGTTGATTTATGACCAAGCAACACGGGGTCTTAACTTCTACACACAAACCTAGCCTTTTAATTTTGCAGAAATCAATTAGAAGAATGTTCTCTTGGAAACAAATACATCTCTTAGCGACCACCAGGGGGGCCGAATTAACTGGTTGCCTTCATAAAGTTCAGTAAAACATTTGTGGGGGAATGTTTTGTAAAGGATTTTGTTTCCTAGAATAACCAGAAAATAGAGTGTTTGAAGTAGTTATGTGACACACACTCATTACCAACAAAGGTTTTTCCACCCCTTGCACAAAATCTGAACTACTCATTTCTGCACAAATGCAGGAGCTTCTATAAATGGGAAAGAAAAGAATGGGTTGGAGTTATTGTTTAATTGGCCCCAACCTGGAGACTGGCTTCCTGCTCAACTCCTGCTGTGCTGTTACCATCAGGCCTGAGGCGATCATTGCAGTAAACTAACCTCGAAGGGTGTGGCTCCTGCCTTGTCCCACAGGCTTCCCCACTCTCAGCTCTGCCTGATCTCCTGGCTCGACCTCCCAGTCCTCTAAGAAGGGCTGTGGTCCTATGGCACCTGTGCTCCAGGGACGTAGAGCTTCTTCATTGAGATGCAGGTAGTGTTCACATAAGCAAGGGCTGCAGAGTGTCATTAAAGTGGTGAGGAGAAAAACAAACTCTCACTGCATACCAAGTGGCATCGCATTTAACTGAATCATTTTATTATGAATACATCCCGGGCTGCCACTGTGAGCCACTCGTGTAAAATATGCTGCCAAAATGGATCTCTGCTAATTACGTTTCATGCATATTTCAGAACTTTCCACAGGGATACAGGAGGATGGTGTTCATAATAGGGAATTTTATAACCAGGTTCACTTGTATTTGGCTCAAGACCCAGACTAATGTTTAATAAAGATAAGCTCAGTTACATTATGTGTTGTGTTTGTTTTAGCTGGAATGTTGTAATTCCTCATAACTATCAGTGCTGCTGTAGTAACTGGCTGAAAATGAAATCCCTCTTTGAATCCACCTGAAAACACATTCTTGCAGAAAAGCATATGGCTATTGAATAGTTTTCTCTTCACTTTTGTTTTTTCTAGATTTGTCTTCAATTTTGTTTTAGAGTGAAATAAAGAAATGAGGCTCTGGACTTGTGGATGTCTTATATGAGTGACAGAATGGAAAGCATCATTACCTGCTTCAAGAGTGAATTGTAAAGAACACAAGTGACTGGTTTTGCATGGCTTTTCACTCTCTTGCTCGTTTCACTTTTCATTGCCAATAATGCTAGTTGGTTATTAAATGCGATGAAAAGCTGTCCGTGGGTTTCATCAAAGTGGAAGAGGCATGTGAAGTCTTGACTTCTGGGGAAAGAGCAAGCTATCCTCTGGATGGACAGTTGGTGATGAATATCCCAGAGTCTCAAAATCTAGATGAAAAAGTGATTAAATTGTATTAATATGTCAAAGAGAATTCTAATTTTTAGCCACTTTTTTTTCTAGCTCACTCTTGGCCCCAGGTAGACAATTGTTTTTTCCCCTTTGCTAAAATTGGTTCCTACTTCTGTCCTAGAACATAACATTTTTATGTTCGAGTTATCTACTTAAATACCTCCTAAATTTTAAACTCCTCCAGGAAAGAGATTGTGTTTTACCCCAGTCCTTGGAATAGGGCTTCACCTTTATTATGTGTTTCTAGTTGAAAAATGATGTTCTCAGATCCTGTGATTATGATTTTTTTTTTTTGCTTTACTGAGTATGTAACCCAGGGACTTCACATTGAGATCCATCCTTGTGCCCCTCTCCCTTATTTTTCTTTTATTTTTTTATTTTGGTACTGGGGATCAAACTTGGGTCCTTGTGCTTTCAAGGCAAGAGGCGGAACCACTGAGCTAAATCCCCGGCCCTCTCCCTTATTTTTCTGTTCTTATTTGAAACAGGTGAAACAGGGTCTCACCAAGTCACTAAATTGCCTAGGCTGGGCTTGAATTTATAATCCTCCCCCTCAGGTTCCCAGAGTGCTAGGATTATAGGCGGGCATCACCACATCTGACTAGATATGGCATCCTACCAAGCAAAAGTAATTTTTGCAAATGTTACTATATTAAGAATTTGAGGGCCGGGATTTAGCTCAGTGGTGCCACCGCCTGCCTCACAAGCACAGGATCCCAAGTTCGATCCCCGGTACCAAAATAAATAAATAAATTTTTTAAAAAAGAATTTGAGATGGCACAACTCTGCTGGATTATTTGAGTCCAGTATAATCAGAAGGGTCTTTAAATGTGGAAGAGAGGGCCAGAAAAGAAGGTCTGAGTGATACAATGTGAAAACTCTTCTTAGGTTTCTGGCTGAGAAAGTAGTGAAAGGGGGCCCTGATCCAAGAAAAATGGAAAAGGTGAGAAGTGGATTCTCCCCAGAGCCTCCATAAAGGAGCAGTCCTCCTACCAAAGCCTCCACAAGAGCTATGTCAGAACTCTAGCCCAGAGATCAGAGAATACTGTAAATCAGTGTTATTTCAAGCCTCTGCATTTGTTGTCATTTGTCACAGTACCAATGGAAAACTAATTCATTCTCTTCCATTCGCTCTCTCGCTCTCTCTCCATTTTTTTGGTGAAAAAAAAGAAATGCTATTGAATAAAATTGTACCGCAGGTATGAGGTTCTTACTAAAGTACAATCAAGATACATAAATGACATATATTTATCAATGGAGAGCAGAGGACAAACACTGAATCCTTGCTCAGAAGACAGGCTACTCTAAATCCAGCAGACATTAAATAATTGCTTTTGCTATTTTTTTCATTCCTTACAGCTCCTTTCATTCCAATGAGAGTGAGTCAAACTAAGTTTCCGGAGAAGAAAACAGGAGAGTAGCTTTGCAGGACAAGCACCTGGCCATCAGAAGGCAGACAGAAATCGTAGGCTAATGAGGAGAAAAAAGTCAAAGTGAAGACCATGAAAAACTGCTCCAAAATGGGTTAATGAGCAAACTCTAGGGTCAGACTTTTTGGGCTCTCTTCTGGGCTCTGTCCCTTACTAGTAAGGTGACAACCAGCAAGTTTCCTTTTCTCTCTGTTTTAATGCAGTACCTACCTCATCCAGTGCTATGAGAATTAAATAAGAGCCCGTCTAACAAGATGTAATAAATGTTAAATGATGCTCTTTATTATTAAATTTATTTTATTATTTTTATTGTAAAAACATTAATACCTAGAAGCCAAAAAATATTACTTCAAATAAAATAATCTATCCTACTAAATATGAGAATTATTTCTAAATTTCTAATAAAAGATAGTCTGTCTTGAAATGAGGGGTAATTACTTCATTATGCCAGCAACCTCATAGTTCTTAATCTACTTCAAATCAAATACTCATTTGGGAAAAAGTCTGTTAAAAAATAATTGTTCAATCTCCTACTTCTGATGCATATAATGCCCAATTGTATACCTTCTTTGGCTACACAGGACACATCACATATAGCTCACTCACATATGAGCAGGTCTTGGGAATTAACGGAATAGGAATTTCTAATAATAGCAATTATTAAATATGGTAAGCCAAAGATATTCTTTTCTACCTTTTGATTCTATCCTACCTCCTACCTCCTTTTCCCTATCCACATAACTTTCCTCTTAAGGCCCTTAACTACAGTAAATGACCCCAGTTCCTTTGAGCATCTTAATATCAGTTTTCAGATCTTCCTCCCAGTTTATAGCCTCTTGATTCTTTTTCATTTTGCATTTATTTCTATTTTATCTCCAGGATAGAATAGTTACCCAGACCTTGCTTCCTTTTAAGTACTACAGTAGGGTATATCCATTATATAAACTCAAACAGCACAAGGCTTCTCTCTCTTCTAAATCCTGCTCTTTGGGGACAGCCTTCTTTAACTCTTCCTAGGTTATGGTTTTCTCCATAACACTAAATAATGTCATTATGTGTGTACTGTATATATTAATCATTTATAAAGCATGATAAAAAGCTACAATGAAAGTTGAAATTTTAAAAAATTTCTTATAATAAAAGATGCATTGCGATTAATACCCCTCAAAACTATCTCCCCTTACTTCAGACACACCTGATGTTCTTGCCATTTTTATGAGTGTCTTTAATTATGATGTTGTGGCTGCTTCCTTGTCTCAAATTAATTAAAAAATTTACCTTTTATTTTGACTTCAAGGAAGAGCAAAACTTGCATGGTGCTAGGGTGAGTGAGGTGGATGAGGACACACAGTAATGTTTTTACCAGCATACCTTTCCTTTAGGTAGCGTACAGAGAGGCCTATTTTTGATCATATTTAATAAAGATACTCACAAAAGGGGACTTCCAGAATTGCTTCAGAAAGTGGCAAGCATAGTGGGATAAGTCAGTTCAAAGTGAGAGGGAGTATTTTGAGGAGGATTAATGGTAATATGTCATTTAACTGTAATAAGTTCTTTTATTTTAAATATTCACCATAGATTTTAATCACATCATGTATAAAATGACTGTCCTCTGAAAGAAAAGGACTTACATATATTCTTCTCCTTTTCACTTTTTATTTTCCCCAATCTAAGCATTTAAATTTTTAGTCCTATTGGTTACTATATTTTAAAATAATAAACATTAATTATTGCACCCATTAATATAGGACACTATCTGTGAGTGTTTTAAGGCGCTCAGTGACCTGTTTTAAGCAAGGCACCGAGGATTGAGCCAGTATTTAAAGCAGCACATTTTTGCTTCAACTGATTAACGCACTCCATTCACCTGCCTTGACATTTTGACCGAGCAAAACTATAGATCTTATCCCTGAGAACAATTAATCTAGCCAGATATCTACCACCTTGCCTCCGAAAATCTGATTCTTTGATCTAAGATTAGAAATTTTTCCAGTTTTCATTTAGAATTTCAAGGTGGCAATATCATTTGGAATCATATATATATATATACACGTATATACATATATACGTATATATATATATGTTTGGAGTCATATATATATATATATATTGTTGTTGTTGTTTGTTTTGTTTTGTTTTTGTACGGGAGATTGAACTCGGACCTTGCGCTTGCGAGGCAGGTGGCAGAACCACTGAGCTGAATCCCCAGCCCATAAATATATTTTTTTTTAAATGGGTTTTCTTGACAAGAATTTTTGTCTGTGTATCTTTTCTGGAGAATAAACCCCAAGCTTCTCCACTGAGTTACATCCCCAAATCTTTTTATTTTCTTTTATTTTGAAACAAGGTCTCACACTGAGTTGCTAACTTCCCCAAGATAGACTTGAACTTCCAATTGTCCTACAGCAGTTCCAAAGTTCTCTTGAAGAACGAGCTCTGGTTGTTTTGTTTTGCTAATTTTTAAAAATTTTAAATGTTCTAGCAGCTCTCCTAGGAATGTTATTATCAAATACGTAAGTCCTATAGAAACTAATGCTAGCAAATATATTTTAATATTTGTAGGTATAAACAGAATTGATAAACAATTATTTTGAGTATTACAGCCACAAGATTAGACACATCTAATAATTCTTAAATATTCATATTACTAACAATGGTCATGTTCTTATTATTCAAAATCTTGTCTTGTTTAATATGGATCCCCTTCTCAGAAATAGAAACTAATTTCATGCCAGGATAAACATCTGGAGTATAGCTGAATATAAATTAACAAAAATTCAAGTATTTTAATGGACTACAATTTTCCCAGAATCATCTTCCATTTTGTTGTTCAAATAATTTAAATTGATTTTACTGTTTTACTGGCATTTAGTAACATAAATTAAATTACAAATTAAAATGGTATGGCCTATGAGTTCTCTGGTCTACAATAGGTTACTTATGATTAGTAACTAAATCTAGAAAAATTTTATTGGACTGTATATATTCATTACTTTTCTTAAAACTAATTTTTATTGCTATTCTTCTGGGAAAATTTATGCTCTCTCAAGTTAATAATTTCAATTTGCCTGCTCTAGTTTTTATCTCTGCTAAGGAACAGTTGTGCTGATGTACTGCTATCAATGGATAAAATCATGTTCTAGCATGCTGCTAGAATTATGTGACCTCCCATACATTTTCAATTTTCACTTTACTACCATATTCTCTTGCAACTTCTCTTAAACTTGACATGAGGAATGCCTATAGTGCTTTAGAAATCATCTATGCTTGGGCCCTTTGCCTAAGCCATTTAAATCAGAATCTGTAAGGATGAGTGTCAGACATTAATATTTTTAAATTCTCAGGTCTCTCCTTTGTATTAAATATATCTTAACTGTCCTCTTTGGTTGTAAGATCAGAGTTAATATCCTTGAACAAAAAAACTTTTGTCAGTTTAATTATGAATATAATATAGCTTAGGTTTAAATCAAATAACTATACTCCTCTTTTGTAACCAGTCCATATCCTTTTAAACACAAAAAGAGTTTGTATGAATTCAATTTTATTAA